TGCTGAATGGAGAGGGTGTTGTGATCTGTGCTAAAGCTCAATAAAGCCAGAGAGAAAGGAGAAGCCCCAAAGTCCTGAAGGAGGTAAATACCTACAGTATCTATCATGGAATACTAAGATGTCATATCAAAATGTAAACACTTATCTATTAAAACCAAGGATTAAATTGATGTAATTAAAGGTAGGTTTCATGCCACTTGATTGTTTCTTTTTCACTAGCTCTATGTATAGGACCTACAATGAAATTGTGCGCAGTTTTGAATGGAAATGACCAATACATTTAAATTAATTGCATGTAAGGACAGAGTCTGTTCATTTCAATAGGAAAATACACAAGATAACTGGAAAACTGCACTGTTCCTCACTTTTTATTTAGCTGAGTGACAAACATCTACATTCTATTATCACATTTGTTTTCTACCTTTCAGGCGCCCACAGCTATCCATTATTTTAAGTACCAATTTAAAAAAATTGAGACAGAGCTGAAACTGTTAAATAGAAAAGTTAACGAGTTATAAAGTGAACCAAAGGGGTGTCTCAGTTTAGTCTGGGCTTACAATCTGGCAACTCAAATGCATATTTGATATATACAGTACTGTAATTATTACCAGCTGCATTAACAATTCATTAACACAACATTTTAAAAATAAATCATCTTTGAAGTTGCTGCATATTAAATAATATAGATCTGGACCTGCAAAACATTATTTATGCGGATCATAAAAAGTTGTGGGTCCTATAACAGTATACATAAATTCAACATGACCCCAAATAAAGCTTTTGTTTTTAAAGCCAGATTTAAGGCAATATTAATAATTCTCTTTTTTGTAGTTATATTTAAAGATATAGTTTAGATTGTCAGAATTTTTAGCTCCAACAAAATGAACAGTCTTTGAAAACAACACTGGTCAAACCCAGGATACAGGCCACTGTATCTGTAAAGAGCCATGGTGAGTTCATGTGCTTTCTTGAGGCGACTGGTCTGGGTTGGTGTCGGTGCCAAAAACCTAAATGAAGATAAATTGGTCCCTGCAGGAGCAATAAAACAGAAGATGAATCCACTCTGCACTAGGAGGTTTCTTCTTCACTTTTTACTACACTCTCCATCCTTATCCCTTCATCCCTCTATTGCCATATTCCCCTTGTTTTCCACTTCCTTTACTCCCTAAAACCATCAAGATGAATGTTGTCATCCTCTGTTTTAATGAAAATGTGGTGGCACACACATACATATACACAAACACAATGGTATGCATGTGTGCAAACAAACACACACAACACCATAGAGAGGTAAACAGGTCTGTGGAGGGATCCATTAACATTCTAATATATTTCTTTTAAAGACGACATGTTTTGTCTTATTAAAGCCTGACTGATAGAGGGGGCTGGAGAAAATCAATAGGCAATGCGCTAGAGATGGGAAATAGCACAAGTATACTGAGGAGAAGAGAAGAAAATAAACATGTCTTTTTAGCTATTCGGCCCTAAGGCGTGGAGAATACTGTAGATCTCACATTTACCAGTTCCAATAGCAGCGCAGGCTCTTTGTAATTTGTAATACACTGTTTCACAGTTTTAACCAAGGAGAGCCAACAGTTTGATTCACAGTAGATCCTGGGGGGCCTGTGGCCCCCGTCAGGGTTAAACAGTCATAGTTCAGTGAAGGCCGCAGCAGGAGACCCATTCTCACGGTGTAAGTGCACACTATGGCCAAAATGAGCAGCATAGATAATCGCTGAGGATCAATTCTCTGTGAGGCCCTACAATTGCACTCATACATCTATTAACTTACATGTGGACTATTACCGAGATTTGTAGGTTGTTTTGTTGTATTTTATTGCACATTAATTTTTTTATTTGTTTTATTTAAGGTTACAGAAATTACCCTGTTGAGTATTCACCTACTAGCCACCTTTGCTGGGGGCTCTGTTTGTTCCATAAACGTATGAAACGGCAAAAAAGAAGACACTGCCCACATTAGGTGACAGCACCAACAACGACACCAAAAATTTTATAAGCAAACAGTACAGACTAAAAGATTAATAATATTGCAATGCTAGATAAAGGTTTTAGTTTTAAATCAGTAAGTAAAACTATCAGTGTCAAGAGACTTATACAAAGCGATGCAAAGTCTAAGAGTTCTGATGGTACATGTTTGTTATTAAAATTAAATAATGACTAGTCCTTCTCTAGCAGACAGCAGATTCACATGCATGCACACACAGTTGCATTTCCGCAACTTCAAGGATATTACATTGACTTACATTCATTTCATAACCCCAGGTCATCACTCTAAAACGTAGTAAATTCCATTTAGAGGAGACTTTTTGTCCCCATAAGGACTTTGAGTCCCCACAAGGTGATTGGAAGACATCTGTGGCCCCACAACATGAATAATATAAGGCCACACACATACACACACAGAGTATTTTCAGTTTCTTTCCTGTTACCTTATTATAGTATTTGGTAAACATTTGATTCATTGAGCACAATGGACTGATTCGTAGTGAACATGTTTATAAACAGACTGTAAAAAATAAAAATACCACTGATGAAAGGCTAAACTGGCAGAAAGAACAACCCACTGACAACAGGTCAATTTTAAGTTAATCCAAAAAAAAAACAAAAAAAAAAAGAATATCAAAACAATAGTTTCAAATTGTTTTAAGTCTATCTTAAAACAATACTGACATGCACACATGTTTTTAGTTACTGCAACTGCTCCAGCTGCCCATGCTTGCTGCAAAGAAATTCTTTCCAATAAAAGCTTCAGTGTAACTGATGGAGAACACATGTGACTGGAATTTTTTTCAAAATGCATCTGAATAAAAATAAAATAAAATATGCAAATGATAAAGGGCAAAATCCAAAAGAAGGGATAGTTACAGAGTGGGAATCTGATATTAAAAATATTGGAAGATATTCCCTTGATTAATGTAACTCAAACTGCTTAAAAATTATTTCAACTTTGGTTTAACTTTACAGTTCTGCTCAAAAAATCTCTGTTCCCTTTTTCCTTATATTGATATGGATGGATCTTTTTGTGGCCACTACAGACATGACAAACAATCACAGTGACCAGAAGAAAAACTGTGAACTTGTCCTTTAACAACACTGGCACTATCTTAACCAATAAAGTAAAATACTTTGGTCAACTGGATGTTGTTTTTAAAGTGCTATATAAATAAATTTGATTTGATTTGAACCAATAAAGATGTTTTGGGTATGCTGTATGTGTAAAGTGCCATACAGAGCACATATAAAATAGATAGTATATATAAAATGCAGTGTTTCTGTCTATACATTATCTGTATTCAGGTGTATCACCTGGTCTAATGGAACCAACAATCAATTTCTGCCAAGGTCCATATGAATCCACTTCACATTAAAAATGAACTGACACCCATCCCCTCCCTCCCTTTCCTTTTCATTCTTCTCCTTTCAGAGACTGAAAAGATCGGTCTATTGATTTCTCATCATATGTTGTCATGTCAGGTTACAACATCCTCTTTTACTGCACAGCTACTCACATCCCAGTTGTTGACTTCCAGTGTCTTGTAAAAGGGAACACCACTCAGCTGTTTTAGGAAAGGACCTTTTATTTTATTTGAAGAAGGTGGAACTTTTGAAATCTATAAATCCAGCATCCTTAGCACCAACCCAAACTGAACACTGATGTTTGAGGATGCTGTAAAAAAAATTTACAATTTCACTTTTACAAAGTCTGCATTCTTTCATGGGCATATATTAAGGTAACACACAATTATACAAATTTTCCAAGTGCATCTTAAAACAATACTCAAAACCCATATGTACAGTATATGAAAATAACTACTGGTCGTGTTGTTCCTGTTCCTCCCCATACTGGCTGTGAAGGGACCTCCTCCTAGCAACAACTCCAAGGTAAGTGATAGAGGACAAACCCATAACACAGAAAAATACCCATTTGATTTGACAAATACATGTTGCCGCATATCAT